AACGAACGTATTCTAAGAGAATGTATGGAGCCATACTCCCCCGTTGCCTTTAGCGTTGTTTGAAGTTTGATCGTGCACACCCATGATAATATAGAAAAAACGGTAGATTATTTTGAGGTCGCGTCCGGGTAGGGCCTGACTTTGAGTCATGGGCCCTACAAATGGAACGGTGAGCAGCTATGAGCGAAGTCTGAGCTTTGGGAAGAGCTGAGTTTCAGGCAGCTGCCGTCCGTTGTATAACCACTTAAAAGTGGCGAGTGCGCAGGGAAGAGAAGTTGCCAGCATCCCAATCCAAACTGTAACCGCTACGCACTCTGTAACCACTACGCACTCTAGATCGGGCAGAACTCTCAGTTTGCCACTTTCAATCATTCCTCCTCCTACTCAACAACTAATCCGCTACTGCCCTGGGCCATGTCTTCTACTGATCCAAGCCTGCATCCCGCCGCTGTGCACAGCCTGTCTCGTCAAACCCAAGCTACTCGCCCAGTAAGAGCTCCTCCTGGTTAAAACATGATCTTCGAAACAACACAAGTTGCTCGTTCCCCACCAGCCTCGGTAGTAGCTCACTCAGCTGCTGTGCGCAGTGATCGCTACGCTACAATCATCAATCTGGGCGGGTACCAGTTCACTCGCGCTTGGTCATCGCGCCGAAGATTGTATACCGATGCAGTTATTACCGTGGTAGACAGTGCAATGGTAAAGTTGAGCTCCGTGCAAACACACTGGTGTTTACAAATTTCGTTCCACATTCATGCCGTGCAGAAGCTGTAGTCGCTAATGACCTGGTGGATATAGTGAGGGAAATGCAAGTCGCTGTCGATGAATTGGCCCGCAATCAAATTGCGTTGTCTGCCACGACTATTTGGTCTCAAATAGATGAACAATTCTACGGAGGAGTCAAATGCAAGTCCTTGTAGGACTATCGCGCGAGCAAGTGCTAAGTCGTGTGTATCGTGCACGCAACCGTCATTTTGGCGGCAACATGTACGGACCAATTGAGCCTTCACCTCTTTCTCGCGTTCAAGACCAACCGCTAAACTTTTTTCCGTTCCTTTAAATTAGTGGCTTTGATGACAGCGGCAATCCCAACATAATCATCGGCTGGGCTCACCCGGAGCTGATTGCTTTGCTAAAGTACTCGGGGACTACGGTTTTTATTGACAGCACATTTAGATGTGTGCACCGTGGATTTCGCCAATGTGTGGTACTTATGGTGTACGATCGCTCTGCGGGGTACTATTGTCCTGTCCTTTACGTGTTAACTACACGACAAACAATGGCTTCGTATTATGATCTTCTCCATTTCATCATGCAAGCTACTGACCAGCAATTGGAACCTAGGGAGGTAGTATGCGATTTTGAGAGGGTCTTAATTGACGCAATTGGAGTGCAGTTTCCTGCAGCAAACATCATCGGCTGTCTGTTCCATTTCAAACAGGCTGTTCGTCGTAAAATCCGCAAGCTTGGTATATCAAACAGTGCTGCAACAATCGCTATGACACCCGGGGTACTGGATATGCTCACAGTAGTGCCAGAAGAGCAAATCGAGATTGGAGGTATTACCTGGGTCAAACGCCATATTAAAGACCGCTGCAGAGCATCTAACGTTGCGTACGCTCGCTTGAAATGGCGAGCATTTTGATCCTACTTCAAAAGTACTTGGCTCAATATGTACAAGACTGACTTGTGGAATGTACATAGGATGAGTGAGCGACTAGTTGCACGGACTAACAATCCTTTAGAAAGGTTTGACCGAGAGTTAAACAGAGCGGCTGCAGCTCCGCATCCGAGTCTTATGACTTTTGTGGCCACCATTAAGGCTTTGGCTAGAGGCCACGTTGCTGTTATTGCTGTCACTCGTGGTCGTCGCGCTCGCGGGTGCCCTCGCGTGTCAATCCAGCTACCGCAACCGGTTGAACTTCCTTTTGAAGAAGAGATCTCAAGTGGAGACGAAGAAGATGTTGATGACGGTGCATCCAATGAAGGTGGAGTGGACGGTACCGCCAGCGATGACGACGACGAGGCTGGAAATGGCGGCGACGACGATATGACAGGTGAGTAGGACAGCAAGAAAACGACATATGCTCTAGTAACAATGCACTCCGCAGGGATGCACCTTATACTCTACACTTAATCCAAATTGCATTTACAAAAGGTACGGTATTTGGTAGGGCCTCGATTAGCGGTCTGGTTTTCCATAAGACCTGACAATCAGGCCATACCCAATTACGACCCAATAAAAAGCTTTCCAAAAAACTTACTACATAAATAAGTGAAACGGAAATAAGTGGCGAAACGTACCATCATGTAATAAATAAATGTTGTACGTGTACGAATTTTATTGTTAAACGCAAGCTGGACGGTTTCGGCTCGCGTCGGGGCCTTGCCAGCGGCTTTACTAATCGAGAAGTGAGAGCTATTTGCCTTCTTCGGTCTGTTCCTATTTCAACCTTCTAATGCAGTTTATAGACACCCTCTACAGGATATCTACCGTGGCGTCGTCCTATACCACCGTATGAGTCTTCCAACACTCTTCCTCGACGGGACAAACCTGGACGCTCGCGACATGATATACCGCTCTCAATAATTTTTCGTGCTTTGCAATTAGTCACGCATTCGCACTTTAGTGACATCATATATTTGACGTATCCGATCAAAAACAACCAGTTTAGAGCATGTCTCATCGATCACTTTATTCCTGTATGCTCTGTTTAAAAACTAGACCAGTAGTTATTACAAAATGGACTGCTGAAATCTCAATATATCGTGGCAATTGATTCCGACTATAGTAAGATGTCATCGGCAATGATACAAGTTGAAACATTTTTGTACCGATGGGAACAAGTATGATAAAATAATAACAATAGCTCACAGAGGAATACCATAAATCAACGCAAAACCCGGTGATCTGCCACATAAATGGAGAATCACCATAGGGCAAGAGAAAAGTGCAAAAATAAAGAGCAATGTCACAAAGTTGTGGAGGCCGAAATATTTAATATTGACGATTTTGCACAAATAGCGTGTACGTGAATGTGGTGATTGGGGGATCGACATGCAGAAGAGGTTTTAGATAATCATGCACTTATGGGCCACCGTCGACGATCACTCGGTCCCATGCCAAGATCATTACGGGTTACGTACACATTTCGAGGGGGAGGGTGTTCGTCTACCATTGAGAATCTCACATAACGGATCAACCCGAAAGTTATTTGCTGTTGTAGCTTTGAGTTACTACACATGGAAAGTTCATTTGCCGTCGATTGGACACGTTTCCTCTCGATCAGAGAGCCGACCCAAAGAGGCGTTGAAACGACGCGAAAGTGTCTATGCAAGTCCCGATCAAAGGCTCGTTTACGACGATCATTGAAAGAAGATGATAGCAACGAGCGAGTAGCCTCGGCGCTCCCGAACTATCAGGATTTATGACCAGGAAGCGCTCAAAAGGCACTGGAGAACGAATCCAGGTTGAAACGCGGAGTCTAAAGTCGGAAGACACCAGTCTTATCATGACGATGGGCAGAAATAAATGATGAGCTTTACATCGTAGAGCGCATTCTTTCGCTGATTAATCAATTCGACGATGGGTTTCTCCCGGATTACAGTACTCGAACTATCAACGTCTAAAGAAGAGGAGCCCCTTTTAAATTTGCGACCAGACAACAGCTCTGGCATCACGAATGACGAAAAGTAAAACTGTAAACATCACCAGCCGCGATAACGCCAAGTTCAACGAATTGAACGCGCATCCGTCGATTGAAGCGAGCATCTGAATTGCGTCATCGTTGAATGGTTCTCACTGCAAGATCGCATGATAGTGACAATCTATTTCAAGTCGGTGCCCACGATCGCAGTCGAAGAGATGACGCTAGCATATAGACCAACTCATAAGTGCGCCAACTGCTTATCGCGATTACTCGCTGGAAGGTGTCCGCAATAAGCAATGCCCAAAAGTTTCCACATATCCAGCTAGCCAGTCGGCGCAGGGCTGGGTTCGCGTCAAGTCCCAGGGCCAGCTCTTACTTGCGCTTCAAAGCACCATCGCTTCAAGTCCCGGTCCCAGCGCGAGCGGGTCCCAACTGCAAAGATCTGGCCGAGTCTCCAGCTCAGTTAAATGCACGTCAATTCGTCACGGTCCGCCCACCAAAACCTGATAACGCCGCACGCTAAATGAGACCGGAACATCGAGTTTCTATGCAGCTTCTGCAGCGGATCAGACGACTTCGGTTATCTGACCCGTACTTGTGGTTTTACGGTCATCTCCGTCCAGTTTAATCACCCTAAAGAGCTCCTCAATACAGCTCGAAAGAATGACAGGCTCTCGTCATTGCATCAGCGTTACTTCCCCTTCAAAACGCCCATCATGTACTATACGAACCGCAATATCTTAGCGTCGTCCAGCTGCGCGTGGGTTTTTGTTGCTCCATGTTTGATCTGCAATCCCCGTCTCGTACAGGAGGAGGGCTGACCTCCCCTTAATCTTAGCTCTGTATCCCAATAGAGTTTCGAATTCCAGCTCCTCGTTAGTCAATCCTAGCGAACCAGATAAGGGGTGGCACGTCACCACGAGCGTCGCCCCGCCCTCGAAACCTCCTTGAATTTCGAGCACGCTTAGTCAGGTTGTAGCAGCTTCAACGAAAACCCCAGAAAAACCGTGAAAAATCACCTTCCAGATATACTCCCAATGCCATGACCGACACAATACGGCGGCAAAATGTCGTGTAGACGCCAAACAAACTAGAAGAAATCACAGAACATTAAGCACGGTCCACCCGTTTGCCACGCGGGCCAACCGATCGCCTGCTCGATCCCAGAGTTCCGGCATTCATGAAGTTTCGCAGCGGCCCCAAAGTCACCTCGTAACTCCACCCTCACTCAGACCAACGCGTTGACCGATTCGACCTTCACTTTGTCATACCCGTGTGAGCAAGGACGCCATGACGTTTTCGTCGACACTTCAGCTCCGGATTTTCGGAGACCATTCATTAGATAAGAAGATGGCGAGTCCACCACGAGGGTTCGATGCGAGGGATGGAGACAACAACGCGGAGCTGCGGTGCTCCATCTCCAGTGACGGCAAGTGGCCGAGCTTGAAGCGAGAAGATGTTTTTCTGGAAGGCACCCAACACGCTGGAGGTTCGTCTGGATACGCGGATTCGACGTTTCAAACGAGCAATAACGCTTTGGGTGGCGGTGGGTTGAGTGCTCCTGCGAGCTGTGAAGGAGGCGCGGCGTCTTCTCACGCGGATTGGCACGCCATCTCGTCGAGTTCGTTTGATGATACCTACTTGGAGAGCGACTACGAGCACGGGGGTGCGGGCATGTCGATGTCTTCGTCCAGTTCTTCTCTCAGTCACTTGAATGAGCCCATGAACAAACTCGCGTTGGAGAGTGAAGAGCACGATATGCCAGTTATTTCGATGCCGTATCCTGGTTCCGGTTGGTTCCTGAGCGGAAAGACGGAGAATGGCTACTCTCTGCCTTCTCTTGGAGGACTCACGCCGCGCTCGCAGGCGTTGACTTCCGTGACAACCGAGATCAGTGCTACATTTAGCGCCAGCTGCCCTCCGAGTGCTCACTCCGGCGGTGGGAATTATTCTGCCTCTGGGAAACTCGCAGGCGATGGCGTATCCTGTCCGTCTAATGCTCGCGCACCCGCTCAACTGGAAACGATGAATCCGTGTCTCCCACACGCACTGGAGCCTTCGGAGCTGCTGTTCGAGGACATGAGCGCGTGGTCTGGACCGCCCGCAGATCCCTACGACAACCAACACTATCACCAGCAACAAGGCCAGCCCTTCTATAACGTAACCTCGCACCCACCTGCATCCAACGGCTATCTCTACTTTGACTCTGGCGCGCAGGCCACCAGCAGCGCCATGTCGACTCATCATCATGACTACACACCTTCGTATCAACACCATCAGCTCCCTTCAACTGGCCCAACTGGACCCTCGCTCTTCCGACTGATGCAGACGCACGACGCTTACCCCACAGACGCTCACTGGAGCTCGAATCAAGCGCATGATCACTACTCCGCCACTTCTTCAACAGCGAACACTACGCCCACCGAGTCGGTCAAGAATCAACACCACTCTGGGGTGCTGCATGCGGCTGAGCAGGGCCACACTATTAAGCGCATCCTCCGCTCTTCCACACTCAACCAGCGTCTGCCCTTAACAGGGGACACGCTCCTCCCTGCAGCCATCCCGAAGCCAAGCAACTCGATGGCGATGAAAGTGATGCCCCTCCCCGCCACGAACCCCGTGCCTCCCAACCAGTCGGCGAGGATTCAACTTCTGACAGCTCTGAACGACTGCTACTGGAAGAATGGCCGCAAGAATCTGCAGTGCTTCCCGTCGTGCCCCGAACACCACGACTTTTACTCCATGAAGATGAACAACCGCAAACATTCCAGTGTCGGGGTGTGTCGTGGTCCAGTGTATTGCCACGCCTTCACCGACGCTGCCGAGTTCCTCCCAGCAGCGTCGACACAGCAGATGAAGCACGAGCACGTTCCGTCTGGAGGCAACAACGCTCGAGAGTTGTTCGTCCTCGGCCGCTTCGAGCGCGTCCCTCAGCAAGACTCGACCAATCTATTGGAAGAGCTGAATGCGCCTCCGTCGTTCCCGAGCGCCGCAGTCTTCGAGCAGTTCCGCTTCACGTGTTTCCAGGCCGTGGAGATGGAAGAACGGCGCGTGTTGTTACCAGAGTCGCCGGATACCAAGAAGTTGGACGCGATCCACAGCCACTCCAACAAGCGCTTTATCCGGAGCACGTGGTTCTTCTTGCCTGATGTCTGGAAGGTGCAGCCGATGCTCAAGAAGAAGCGCAAGGCCACACGATCCGCACCAGCTCAGACGTTCCCATTCTGCTTCCGGATCTTCATCTACACGCGCGACCTCAACGGCCCTGGGTACTCGTGCATCGCCGACACGGCCTCGAGCTTCTTCGAGCTCTACTCGACTCGAACAGTGGACCGGGTCAAGCGCAAGTACTGGAGTGGCGAGAGCTCGTCCGACCAGCGCAAGCGAGTCTAGCAAGTCTTATTCGTACCTCAGTTGTGTCTAATCTGTTAACCGATCCATAGAAAAACTTAACTGAACGTTAGTGACAAATAACGGATATGAAGCCTTGGTGACGTGAAGCGACGCACATTTCTCATCTCGACTCCAGCATGGGACCCCCTGACGCGTCAAGGGGCGGAGACGATGGGGCTGCGGGTGAAGGGCAAGGCGGCGGCGGCTCTGGAAAAGTGCCGAAGATCACGATCTTGCGACTGGAGCTGGGCACTGCCATGAAGGACGAGGCTGTGGCCCATTTGATCCGGATCTTGCAGGCCACTCCCAATGCTATCGAGAAGGACATCGCGACGGATATGAAGAAATACTTCGACCAAAAGTACGGACAGACATGGCACTGCGTCGTGGGCAAAGGCTTCGGCTGCTCCATCGCCTACGACACGCAATATCTGCTCTTCTTCCGCGCCGACCAACATTACGTGCTGCTCTTCAAGTCCACCGAGTGAGCTTAGACATAGAAACCGATAGGATCATTACCGTCCTTTATTCAGTTTTTCAACACGCAGTCTCTGAATACTCAAGCGTCAATTCTTACACCACCCTGGCAACTTGAATCAGTACTTTCAATGACGCCTTGGCGAATGTAGCCACGGGATCAAGACTGCCTTTGTTTGGGTCTAAAACGTCGGGCGTGTGCGCGTCTACGAAGTCCTGCTCCTCATCACGTTGCACCTTAAATAGCTGATCACAAGGCTATTGTCAGTGCAGCGTGCATAGGTGCTAGTTCTACATGCTACGTACCTCTTTGAGCTCGACCATGTTGGGTTTGCTGGCGTAGATTTCGCGAATCTGGTCGTTGTAGTAATCGCTCACTGCCATCTTGACGCCCGTCACGTACGACGTGCTGATCGTGTCCCCCAATGGGCTCAGTCCGCAGCCTGGAGTGGAATAGTAAATACTTAGAATTCAATGATCCATTCTCTTCCTCACAACTCTGGCAGACGCACCGACGACAAAACTGCAGAGCTCGACCGCTGGGACCATCAGACTCGGACGGAATCTCAGGTCCTTCGTACGTACAGTATCTTCAATACGCTGCACCGCTTTCTCTTCGTTATCGCGCAGCTCCTACAAGAAAAATAAATAGTTCCACAGTGACCATTATTTACGCGACCCGATCTCCCGGCGCATTTGAGCATTTCCCGACCTTAAGCTTCTCAAGGTGTGCAGCGGAGTAAGTCTTGATCACGTGGAAGTCCGCCACCTGTGCTCATACCATAATGAACAAATAAAAATAATAAAAATAATAGTATTTGCATTATGCACCTTGGCATCGAGCAGCTTGCCACTAGCGATCTGCAAGGCATGTCCACCGCGGAGCATCTCGCTAATCTCCGTATCCTGAGCCTGCGGGTGCACAGGGACGTCGCCGCACCCCTCCTCCAGCCAGTTGGGGCGCACATGTGCGGTGGACGCCCGACGAATACCAACAGCACGGCGAACAAGCACTTGGGTTTGCTTCATTTTGTCGAATGTGGGTCGGAATGCTTGCGTATGTGTTATTAATAAAAAAAATACGGCAAATATTATGCTTGCAGCCGGGTGCGCGATGTTCACGAGTAACTCGTTGCCAAAATTTAATCCGTTGTATTCGTCATTTCCAGTAAAATGGTACTTCGTGTTAAATTGCATCGAGAGAAATGTTTGAAACAATTTTAATGCCCGCCTTTAGGATTTTCGGAGTGAATTGCGAAGACGTTTGCCTCTTTCAAAAGCGACGAAAACAGTAAACAAAAAAATCCATCCTTGAAGGGTATAATGCACCCCAGCTCGCTGCAGAGCCAAAGTCGAGTAAATTACTATGCGCATCAATGAACCAGTGGTTTCAGCGGCGCTGCACGTGTCTGGTCATCGATTACTTGCTCTCGAATGTTCTCGGGGACTCCTCCAATCACGGAACTACGCAGCAGCAACAGCTAACATTGGTACCAGTACCTCAATTGCATCACTAAATAGCCTAGTACAGCGGGTCGTACATGTTGTCGCCACGGACGATGTAAAGTCCAAGCTCCACCGCCTCCACGGGTTCCTTGAGCGAGAAGACGCGCTCGAAACTATCGTCTAAAATCACGTTCACACACTGATCGAAGCCCTTCAGCACGCCCTACAGCGATCAAAACAGCGAGTTACACAGCACAGTCAGCGCTTGAGTATTGAAGCGTGTTCTCACAGAGCGAAGCAGACGTACAATGATGTTTCTGCCGTCGTTGGTGATGACTGAAATGGTTTCTGCGAATCAACCAGCGACAGTTCGACAATGAATCAGCATCACGAGAATCAACGCAGTTTGCTCTATATAAAGCGGCAACTTCGGTTCTCATCTGCTCCCTACAGCTCTCACAGTCGCCACTTACGGTTCATCATCTCCTGCAGATACGCTGCCATCTCGCTCAAGCACTTATCATGATGTGCGGTACACCAGTAATCGGAGCAGTCATTCCCGTACATTACACTTCTTTACACTATTGCATGTAGCTATCTCAACCTGCAATTGTAGCTCAATTGACCATGGGTGGCCAGACGTCGCGTATGGTGCGCGAGATTGTGGAGGACTCGACGTACATCATCCGCCAGACCAATCGTGCCACGTATGAGCACAGCCGTGCAGCCAATGCAGAGGTGCAGTCCAAACTGACGGAGCTGCGTCGACTCAACGGAGAGATGCTGCAGTCCGCCGAGAGTGACGCACAGCGTTCCGAAGTATTTGAGTCGTTCCAGAGCACGGCGGGGCAGCAGAAGAAGGCGCTGGACGAGCAGGTAGTGGGCTTAGATTTTACCTACAAGACATCTTTTGTGTACTCACGCTGGTTCTATGTAGGCCGAGGAATTCGCCAAGCAGTTCGAACTGCCCATTAGCTACCAGAAGATCGCAGACGCGCATCGAGAGGAGATTCAGAAGGCTAAAGTGAAGGCAGAAAAGGCAGCGGAGGCTCTTAAACACCCAGAGCAGAAGCAGTCGTGAAGGGTGTAAACTCCAGCGCTGTATGACACATACACAATGTGCAAGGAATAGACTACACTCACTATTGTACCTGTACACTACGACTCGCAGTGCTGCACGATCCATGGGTGTTCCAGCACGCGTTCCAGTGAGATGCGGTGCTGTGGGTCGTGACGCAGAATCTTCACCAGCAGATCTCGAGCCTCGGAAGACACGTAGCTAGGAAACTTGAGGTCCACGTGCGCAATGCGGCGATAAGTCTCCTTGGTGTTCTCGGTCTCGAAAGGAGGCGCACCGGTTAGAAACTCGTACATGAGGATGCCAAGCGTCCATACGTCCACATTTTCGTCGTGTGGCTTGTTCTCGATCATCTCAGGTGGCAGGTAGTCCAGTGTACCGCAGAGCGTCGTGCGTCTAGAAGACGGCGCGTGTACTGACCACCCGAAGTCAGCAATCTTGAGCTCTCCGTGGAAGCCAACGAGCAGGTTTTCGGGCTTGATGTCTCGATGGATCACGTGCTTGCTGTGCATGTAGATAAGAGCACGTGCCATCTCCTGAATGTACAGAGCCGACTGTTTTTCCGAGAAGCGACCGGCACGCATCAGCTTCTTGTAGAGCTCTCCCTGCGGGGCATACTCGATGATCAGATACACGCGCTTGGCGTCGTAGAAGTAGCCGTACAGTCTCAGTATGGATTTGTGTCGCAGGTGGGACTGAATCTCGATCTCTCGACGCAACTGATGCTCCATACTCGACTTCATGAGCTGCTGTTTGTTCAGCACCTTGAGTGCCACCACATACTTGGACTGTTTCTCTCTAGCAAGATAAACGTTGCCGAATTTTCCCTTGCCCAACGGTTTGCCGATCTCAAAGTCACTGAGTTTCCACGTCTTCTTTCCAGACGACGTCTCGTCGGTCTTTGTCTCTGCGTTGGCAGAGACTGCTGAGGCCTTGGAACTCGTGGAGCCTAACCGATTGGGCACTGAAGAGCCTGTAGTCGCCTTGTACAAACCTGTGCCATGAAGATACGACGGTGCATCGCCGTGTGGCCGTCGAGAGGCGTCGGTTCTGTCTCCTCCAGCTTTGCGCGGGTATTTAGAGCCGTCCGTCTGGTTGTGGGGCCGCTTCATGGCGCCAGACGCGGTAGCCGTTCCTGCGGGTTTAAGCTGGCGAGACGAGAGCGGCGCGCGCTGCGAGTAGCTGGAGGTGGTCGCCACGCGGTTCTCCTTGTCCGCGTCAAACCGTCGCATCAGTTTATCGGCTTTCCTCGACAGTATTTTTCAAAAATGACGGTAGATTAAAGCAAAGTTCGCACTAATAAACGAACATAAGCTAAAGTTATAAGTTCGCTTTTTGGGTGCGAACTTAGAGGCATCTTAGTTGCAGGATGCCTCGTCAGAGTACTCAGGGTTGTGTGCATGCCGACAATGACCCACTAGTGGAGGACCTACTGGCACTCAAGCAGCGCGTGCGTGAGTCCACCCACTTGGTCTCCAACTATGCGCGTGCCATCACCTCCGTCCGCGCTCACCCTGAGCCACTACGCAGCGCAGCCGAGGCCAAGAAATTGCGACATATCGGCAACTACATGGCCAACCAGATCCACGGTATTTTGCGAAAGAGAGATCTACTAGAGGCCGAAGACCGCGCATTGCCGAGTGCACCGCCTCCGGCACCTTTAGTACGCGTACAGGTCGAGATATCGGCGAGAAACACCTCTGTCGGGACGCCAGACCGCTCCACGAGAGACTACGCACCTGCTTACCGCAAACGTACGTGCTGTTAAGGTAGTTCACTCTAGACACTAAGTTATACTGAGGGTATTGTATCACGGTTCAGAGCCGTGGTTTGTGCTACTGGTGCTGCAAGAAGCTCATGCGGTGGATGAAGACGCAGCCATGTCCAGTGACACGCTGCTGCAGCGAATGCTGGACTCTGGGGTAGCTTGAGATGGAATTCATTGGAGTAGCCTCTCGTGGAGATGATTAACAAATGTTGGTGTAGTATGAAGGCAACAATACTAAGCTGCGGACGTGTTTGGCGTCGCTGAGCGGGACGCATGAGGTGGTCAAGAGGTCCAACTTGGGCTTCTATTATCTGACGGAGAAGGGCCGACGCAGCGCAGAATTGTGTCCAGGATCACTCACAGGACCAGCGACTACTACTACTACTACAGACTCCATTACTTCAGCTGGATCAAGTGCTACAGTTGCTACTGCTTTAGGTAGCGTGAGGAAGAACCAGGCTGGAGAGGTGAGGCAGCGGCCGTCGAGTCCCAGCTGGACGTTTGCTGAGCTGGAAGACTCGGACGAGGAGATATTGACTGAGCTGAATGCTCGTCGCGTACCAGAACCAGAGCCTGAAGCCGCGATCAGGACACACACTGTACCTGAGGATTTGATCCGTGAGACGGACACGTGGGAGCTGGTTCTACTTCTGGACCATCGTGAAATCATCGAGCGACGAAATCCGCGAATTCTGGAGAGGAAACTACTGGAGCGAAATGTCAACTGCGAGGTGCGCGTGCTTGGTGTAGGTGACGCTCAGTGGATAGCACGCAGGAAACGCATTGGCGGGGAGACGCAGGAATTCATGCTGAACGTCATCCTGGAGCGGAAAGAAGTGCACGATTTGTCGGGCAGTATTATCGACCGTCGTTTCTTCGAGCAGAAGACGCGTCTGGCTACAGTGCGTGAGAACTGTGGTGACGTGCATGTTATTTATCTAATCGAGGGATCACTGACGCAGATAACCACAGTGCGTACCAGCGGCCTCCACACGGCGATGGGTCGCACACAGATGCAGAACAATTTCTTCGTTCAGCAGTGCCAGAATGCCGACGAAACTGTCACCTTCCTTGCTCGTGTGCACGCCCGGCTACTGGCGAAGTTCCCGTCGAATCTGCGAGCAGCGAAGCCAGAGACGTCGCACTTGATGCCTTTAAACCGCTTTGACACGAACGACTTCGCGAAGATATTTTGCTTGCCGCCCCAGACTTTCGCTCCCTTCAACTCGCAGTTCCGGAAGAAAAACCAGTTTACCGTGCGCGAGATTTACCAGCGGATGCTTTTGCAAGCCCCCGGACTCAGTGCTGCTAAGACCGTGGGTCTGTCAGCCAAGTACAAGAACTTTCACGAGCTGGGGAGTGCATTACGGAAACGAGGTCGTGACAGGGAAGTCGAGGACGTCCGATGTGGAAAATCTCAGCGTCGGCTTGGCGCTAAGGCGAGCGAGTCCCTTACTAAATTATTGACAGCTCATAAATACATCGAGGATGCCTAAGCGTCAAATACATGTACTACATTAGTACTTGAGTCGGTCAAGCGTAGTTTGAACATTTTTGTGGATGTGAGTCGCGAAGAGTTATCAAAAGAAATTAACGATGAGGAACCATTAGCTTTATTTCTGTTATTTTCTTAAGGAGAGGGTCGAGGTAAAAAAAAGTGATCAAAGTAGTGATTGGAATTTTTTGATTGGACAACAAATCGGCTTTTTTCTCAAAATCACTTTAAATTACGCTTGTTTCGCGAAGCAGATCGCAATTTTTGCAGGTGTGAAGGTCGTACAGTAGTATACTTTATCACTTGATGGTCACCAAAACTGCAAGCGCTCAGCCAGAGCATGCTAACTTTGTTCGTGCCACAACCCATGATACAAGAGTCAGAGAGAATTAGATCCCAGCGCAAACATTCCTCCCTAATATGCGGGGTGAATATTACATAGTTTCATCAGTTTAGCTATCTAATAACTACGATAAATATTTGCAGCTCAAAGAGCTGTGTTAGGTTTTTGTCATCCTGTAGCCTTACACTTACCTCAGCAAAGTTGCGCAACCAGCGATCTTAGACAGTGACTTTATATAAGCAGTAAAGTGCTCGTCAGCTCACCGACAAAGGATCTGCCCAGGGAAATGTGTAACATCGCATCCTTTGTTAAGAGTTCGTCAAAGACTCCACAGAATCTTAAACTCCATTACCTCTACGTCTAATTTGCGTTACTCGCAGCTTCTTATAACAAGGAGCTCATCAATAGCTATTACGATTTAAACTCGTAAAACATGCAATTCCTATTAACAATATTTAGTATTGCTAAAAACGTAGCTTACTGGCTTTTAAACATCGCAGTGACTCCGGTACCCATACCGAGTTGACGCTCCAAGCATACCGCACTAAGATACAATGAATTATATCTGAGGCTGCGGCTGTAAAATGATCTGCTCGGGCACGTCTATAAACATTTTTTTTTCTTGCAAAAGCAGCATTAGGGGTAGTCAATGTTTGCAGCAGTTAGTTTTTATTCTGCCGCAGCAAGTCAAACATTTTCCGGCGCTTCGATTGGGTAAACTATTTTTGAGCGTCCAGAATCAAAAGTCGCAAAAGTAGGGAAGCAGCAGCGACCTTTTTTATGGCGATGTGCAAGGAGAACAGTCGCAAATCCACTCACAGATTTAAATGGCGCCGTGCAAGTGAAAGGCATTATAGTCGCGTTGCGAAGGCTACAACATACGAATTGGCATTACTATCGTGTGGAAATAACGGGTGTGAGCACAGCACACATCGCAGTTGCTTAGCTGCAATGCTCTCAACGTTCGGGGACGAAGAATTGTTCGACAGTAGCGTCTGTGGAAAACGCTGCTATAATACTGCTGTGAAAGCCCGTAGGCTGGCTTCGATAGAGCAGCCTGCTAATAAGAGAGTTCCGTGGCGCAACGGTGGTCCAGCGTCAAGCGTCAACTCTCTAAGTGTATTGATTAAGTGGTTAACGGATAGAAACAACTACAACCACTACACGGAAGGAGAGGAGCAAAGTGGCGAGACAAAACAAAAGCTAGCAACTGCGCAGACCCACAAAATGGACAATTCCCTCTAGATATAAGGATAGGATCGTTCTTTACCAAGTCGACGAGGCGGAAGAATGCCTCCTTCTCTAGGAGGAAGTGATTGAGAAATTCATCAGCATTCGGACACTCCGTATCAAATAGAAAAGACTTTCAGCGGTCCTCTCGACGCCTCTAGCTAGTTGGTCTGTCGACATACCGAGATCCAAGCACGTTCTCGTAGGCTTGTGGGTAGGATAGGTCCACCTCGTCTTCACTTGAGTCGTCCGCATCAACAAGATAACGTAGGATCGACGCAGCGCTCCTTTCTTCGACGACGACGTGTAGCTCTCGGAGAGTAAGCTGCCTAGTGCTGTGGCGTGTCACCGCAGAAAAATAGATATTGCTGCTGCGGATAGGGTGGCCAATCGCCCGCATTGTGATTGGATAAAACAATTGGCGAGCCGCCAAACGAAAAAAAAACAGCTGGTATCAATGGCGACCCCTATTCCATGCAAAAAGTTCTTTTTTCTTTTTATGATTGATATCAGATATGCTAGATGCTTCACTGTTATAAAAAGTAATTTATTTAGACTTTATTTGTCGATTTTAAAAACTAGGTAAATAAAGAACTCGGTGTAAGCCCACTCCATCAGCGTAGCAGTAGGGAGCGATCGCTGACAGTCACAAATGAGCAGGTACTGAAGCTTCGTCAGTCGTTTTCTCTTTTGGAAGAGCCTAGAGGTCACCATTGTTGTCAGGCCTCTGCGATTAGACTAATCATTTTTAATAATATCGCATATTGGGAATGCAATAATGTCTTGAGGAGCGAGTAAAAATGCAAGCATTTTTTCAGCATTTTATCAGTTATTCTAGGGTTAGTACTGTCCACCAAAACTACCGGTTGCCACCACCTCAAAAGAGACTTTACGAGCCTTGTGCAATCTCCTCAGCTCATTCGACCTTTTGCAGTCATCCCAACAACTCTTCAGCCCCCTTTCGCCCAAGTCCCCCATGAATTTCACAAACAAGGACATCTGTTCCTTACTCTTTACCGAGGAAACACCCAACAAGGCGAAATGCTGCGTGTGCGGCAAGATCTACAAGCAAGGCAACGGCTACACAAACCAGATGCACCACCTCCTGAAGATGCATCCTGACTACCCGCGACTGGCTGAAGCTGCTTTCCGGCGCGGCAACCCGCTGGGGCTCACCATGCCCGACCAACGGAATAGCGAAATTTTCCGCTGGATCGAGTGGTGTGTGCTGGACCGCATGCCAGTAATCTTTTGCGAGCGAGCTCTGGTTCGTACGAATGCTTCCATGGCGCCTATTGCTGCCTCACCATTTCAACGATACATCGGCCTCCTCTACGGATACGTGCGCGACGTCATCGCTGCTAAGCTTCCTGAGAAGTTTGGGCTGGTTCTCGACGGCTGGTCGAGTGGTGGTCGCCACTTCATTGCGATCATGGCTGTGTACCATGATGCCTCTGTGAATAACGTGGGGGTAGGAAGCCTAGCTACGATGAGAGCATTCAATGCGTGTCACGCCGCTTTGTCTTGCTCGCATTTTGCCCTCTGGGCGATGAAGAAGACCTCGGCGCTCAAAGCTTGTTTGACCTGATAGCGGACACGTTATCAACCTTCAACAAGCCTTGGGAGTCCGTGCTCTTTATGATTGGTGATAATTGTTCCGTCAACCAGGCTATTGGCCGAAAAGTTGGAGCTTTGCCTTTCATTGCCTGTGCGAGTCACCGTTTTCAGCTGGCGGTGAACGCGTATCTGGCTGATCATGAGCCCATGTTGGCCAAGACACACGCGCTCATGAAGTACCTGAGTACCATCAAGTGTCGTGCTGCCCTTTGCAAGGTGACCTCCCTAGCGCCCGTCATGCGCAGCGCGACTCGTTGGTCGAGTACCTTCAGCATGATACAACAATACGACAAGATTTGTAGCGCTCTTCCCGCGTTGGACCACGCTACGGTGGCTAAGCATGACATCGCGCGCTTTCTACTGACGCCAGAGGAAACCGAAGCCGCTCGCTCCGTTCTCAAGTCGCTGCACGAGCTGAATGGGGTGAGTAAGGCGCTACAAGACTCAACTCTAACACTGGTGGGTGCACGACGTGCCTTTGATGCAGTGTTGCGCAAGTACCCCAGCATGAAGAACTGGCTTGCAAGTGACGCCTCCGTCGTCAACAATCCCGCACCGGAGAATAAGCGGCGTGTATTCATCTCAAGCGCAGCAGCGACGACACAGTGGTGAATCCAGCAGTTTCCAAGTCATTTCTCGCGTCGGCCTTCAAGAAGGCCCCTGTGACGCGCTCCCCACCGCAATACTTTTCTCTCGAGTGGGTTCCACCCGCGTCGAACGAGTGCGAGCGTTTCTTCAGTCAAGCCAAGCTGGTTCTGACCGACCTGAGGAAAGACATGGACCCTAACACTCTTGAAGTGCTTATGTTTCTATCGTACAACAAGGACTGGTGGGACGCATTTAGTGTCAAAGCTATCAGGCAGAGTATGCGTAGTCAACTTAGGGAATAATGCCATTATTATTGTCTTGGCGTTATAGCAGCAGAATATATTGAGTATGGCATATTGGGGAACCCTGATTGTTGTGCAGCGCAACCTGGACGCGATCGAGATATGCATGATAACGGAGGTTTGCTTGACTACCACGGTCAAGAGATGCACAGCAATCAGCTTTATGCGCGCGATCCGCAATATTTGGATCCTCCAAGCTTCATCACTACATGCATTAGTCGGCTTTTAGATTTGATGTAAGCATTTTTTGGTAGATATATAAGCTGTAAGTAAAAACGGCGTTTCATCAGTACGGTGGCAGTAGTCTTGACGTATAGTAATATTTTGGAGCTAATTGAAACCGAAGTGCAGCTGAATCTTATAGTAGATAGAAGTTTGCAAAGACAGCAACAACTACTATAGTAGCTACTTATTACATTAGCTTCTGAGTGGCTAGTAATAGAACCGCTTTATGATCTTGTAAGGCAAGCACCCGTCTTTGTTTTCGGCTGGCCTAATGGGTGGTCATTCTGTCTTTTTATTAGATCCAAGACGTCGTGTTGACAGCCTACCCCTGTGTTTGGAGATTCTGTGCAGCTAAAGCCTGTTCGTTATTCTGTTTTAGACTAGCCCCGGACCATTCAGATCTGGTACCCACGTAGCAAAAATTCATGATTGGGATTTGGGGGGGGGTCGAAATCAGGGCGACGATGTGCTCTATGATAACAGGGTTTAAAATAGGATATTCCTCCGCCACGCTACTCCCATGCTTGAAGCTCCAGATAACTTCAATACTTGGGCGAAGAAAACGCAAGTGCCACTGTAACCCACACAATTGTAGAAACGGTTAACCTTTAAATTGTTGATATCTGTACGTAGAACTTATGCGGATATCGGGCGCTTTTTTATCGAATACAACCTGATCTAATCTCAAGTATCGTG